TATAAAAAGTGAACGTAGATGTTTTTGGTGTTTAGCAAGCTCAGGACATAGTGTCAAATGCACAGGACAGATCACATCGACAACTAGCTTTTTTTTTACATAACCCGAAGTTGCAAGAGAATTTCTTGAAGGGAAAGAAGAAAAGAGCAAAAAGGTAGTGCTGAAATTGAGAATATGCTATAAAAAAATACATATTGCTCTATATCTGTGGTTAGGATTTTTCCATCATGGAAGTATTTTCTCACCAAACGATCTAAATTCAGGCTGTTATTTATTCCCCCATCTGCCTCCTCCTCTGTTCCCTTTACTTTTGTTATTAATTGGAAAGTATAAAGTATTTCAGGGAAACTTGCTTTGCAGCTTTGCTATAATGCAGCTAATCCATTAACCCAGAAATAACGTAAAGGGACATAAACCTAAAACCTGTGGGAAGTTAAGCCTGTTTGGGAAAAATGTCCCCAAAATCGTGAGTGATAATTACAACTGTATACTATATCCCACATAAATTTCTGATAGTGGATTAGGTTTACTTCCATGCTATTATGCCCCTCTACATTCTGTCAAAATGTATAATTTCTGTCAAAATATATATACAGAATCTAGGGATTTATGGGTCATTTCATTCATTTCTCTTTCCCATTATGGGCATTACAACCAGAATGGACCAAAGAAAAAACTCCTCTAGAGGATTAATACCTACTCTAAAAAAGGGTTTAGGATTTTACCTGATGAATTGTGGTGTTATTTGCTTTTTGCTTTCAGCATCTTATACAACAATTGAAAAACAACAATAGTAATCATAAGTTATACCAAAATAAAAATTCACTTTTGTGAATTTTGAAAGACTTGACTCAAATGCTAGTAAAATGAGTAAATTAATAAAAGCCATTCTAACTGGCGTAAGATGATATCTCATTGTGGTTTTAATTTGCATTTCCCTGATGATTAGTGATGTTGAGTATTTTTTCATGTTTATTGGTCATTTGTCTATCTTGTTTTGAGAAGCTTCTCTTCATGTCTTTTGCCAACTTTTTAATGGGGTTGTTTGTTTTTTCCTGTTGATTCGCTTGTGTTCTTTGTAGATTCTTGGATATTTGCCCTTTATCAGATGTATAGCTTGTGAATATTTTATTAAAAAGTCCAAAACCAGTAGATGCTGGCATGGATGCAGAGAGAAAGAACGCTTATATACTGTTGGTGGGACTGCAAATTAGTACATCCTCTATGGAAAACAGTATGGATATTCTTCAAAGAACTAAAAGTAGACCTACCATTCGATCCAGCATCCCACTACTGGGTATCTACCCAAAGGAAAAGAAGTCTTTTTATCAAAATACACCCGCACTCAAATGTTTATAGCAGCACAATTTATAATTGCAAAGATGTGAAATCAACCCAAGTGCCCATCAATTCATGAGTGGATTAATAAAATGTGGTGTATATATACCATCGAGTGCTACTCAGCCATAAAAAAGGATGGATTAATGGCTTTTGCAACAATTTGGAACTGGAGATCATTCTCCTAAGTGAAGTATCTCAAGAATGGAAACACAAACACCACATGTACTCACTATTAAATTGGAACTAACTGATGAGCACACATTTCCACAGAGGGAAGTAAAACTCAGTGGAAACCAAGCAGAGGGGGAAGGAGGGGAGGGACAAAAACCTACCTAATAGGTACAATGAACACTATTTGAGTGATGGGCACACTTAACAGCCATGACTCAAATATTACAAAAGCTATCCATGTAACCAAAAACATTTGTACCCCCTTAATATTTTGAAATAAAAAAAA